CACCAGGAATGGGACAGAACATAAGAGTTAAGGTTCCTAAACAAGAACACAAGACATGGCTTCTAGCCTGCATGGTCATAGGACTTTTTAGTCTATGAAATGTATATTTTACGGCAAATGGTTACTTGACTAACAAGTATTTGGACCAAGTTTGGTTCAAATCAAAGCAAACAACAGAACACTCATATACTACTCTTAACTAGAAAACAACCAGGTATATCCTAAACTTAACGTGATCCTCAAGAATGTCAAATCTTAATGAGGCATGGATAAATAACTGGCCCCAACTGGAGCAGACTAGCAACTAATATCACCAAACACCAGCGCAACAGAACTAACCTAACAATCTTGATATTAATTACACAAATAGTTAGGCACTGGACTAGTCACATTAGGTTACTCCTGGCACAGTAAATCAAATCACAGTTCAACTCAACCACGTTGACAACAGGCATATGTCCTAACACTCCGCAATCAGCTATGATAACTATAAGGCCTTGAGAAATGGTCTAGAATGGCCAATGAGTTGAACCACTAGGCCAATGCTTTAGTTATATAATCAGTTATAGGACAACATCAATTTAGTACAATAAACATATAGATGTATAATCATAAATGTGGCAGTCTTCAAGAAGTTCAGGATTAGGTGATGATACTCAGGTTGGGAAGGTTCTGGGTCGCCAGTCTGGGTTTCAAGGTCTCCAAACCGCTTGACAGCTGGGCCCGGCACCAGCTGCTCCTATCAAATTAACAAGTACAAACTTAAGTCTACTACCCTTGATAGTGAATAAAAATTCCTACTTCAGGTAGGTACTGTGGTTAACTTTGGCAACAAGGGTTAAAGCTTTTAGCAAGAATCAGGACAATAACACAGTAAAGTAAAGCAAGGAAGAACACAAAGCAAAATGCAAGATTTAACAGCTGTTCTTCAAATAAAACAATGTAAACACTCGAAAGTTAATTTACACTTAAGGCCCTGGTTGAAGGTCGCAAGGCTTCTAACAGGCTTGGCTCTTCCCTATGCGTTTCTTCACTAATTAGGATAGACTTTACTCCACTCGCAAATGAGATGGCGATATGGATTTATCCATGCTTACCCATCTATTTATTTATAAACGGTGATCAGTAACAAAAAATATGTAAACTTTGTATTAAAACAGTTTTAATGAGAGGAAATTTCAAGCAACTTTGAATATTATTGTTCATCAAGTCTGCGACTTTTTTACTTTTTTCGAGATATAAAAGGGTTGTAATTTTTATTCTCCATTGAATGGTATACTCGGCATTCCTTGATCAGCCTCTTTGTTGTAGATATTTTCGACCGAAAAATAGTTATGATCGAGCTTGCTGATACGCGGAGGGAAAATCCCGCATACTAGCTGCTCAAATGGAGGCGTTGTGGAATACATGAGGGGAAAGAGACGTCGTAAATTACTGAACTGTCAGTTCACAATATAGCAAATAAATGTTCACCAAAATCACAAGCCAATTGGTAGCAATCAAATTGAAAGCATGACAATGGACAGGTTGGGAAATTACTGCCTAATTTTTTCCAATTCACCGCAACTCACCATTAAGGAGCAGTGAAATTGCCTTGGAACAGGAGTACGCAGGAGAACCAGTGTAGTTTGGCAAGCAGGTATAAGGTGACTTCAAGCAAAGGATGCAGGCATTGATGAAGTTAGGTAGTTAGGCATAAGTTTAACAAACCATGCTGGTGTGTTATGAATGCAATGAAGCTTTACACTGACAAATGTTGGCTGTAAGTAATTGGTTAGGCCAATAACAAGGATATAAGTCTGGAACAAACACAGAAAGAAAGAAACACAAACAGTATTAACAACAAAGTTAATGAAAACCACTCCTTCCTATAACAGAAAGCAATAAAAGGTTGCATGATCTAAAATGTCATGATAAATCATAGGCCTAGCAATGAAAGTTATGCAAGAGACTGGAAGTTTAATAAGAAAGCTAAGAGGGGCAGTATGCTCCTCTTCACCATCAACCGGGGCCACTTGGGACAGGTGGGGTAACTCAAGACAGTCCTTCGACACGGCGTAAAACTGTTTTAGTAGCAAAACTAATTGGAATATCGCAAAACTAAATATAGTGGCGTAAACGTCAAAATTTTTCCTATCTATGTAGTATAAAGAAAGTTCAAAAATACTACATTCACTAGCTTTGAAAAATTCCTGAAAAATGGTGAAAAACGATATTTTGAAAAGTTACTTCTGCTAAGGTCTGTAGTAAAAAAATATTCACCGTAATATATATTAAAAAATTTTACTTGCATAAAAGTTGCACCCAGGTGTCGGCTTGAAAATGTAATTGACAGATTTTGCCTATCTCTCATTCCCCAAAAAAATGGCGGTCATTTCCACACGGCAGGGGTACTCGGGACACCCCCCCCCCATAGCTATTCAGGACACCCCCCGGAGCTATTCGGGACACCCCCAAAAGCGCATTTACAGTAGAACCTCTGTTAGCAAAGGCTCCTGTTAAGAAAAAAATTGATTAAAAACGAAGAATATTGATTACATTTACCTTGCTGAGCGAAAAAAAGTTCACTTATCGTCACAAATTACAAGCCATCCTGTAAGCTTACAGATACAGAAAAAATGCTATAAGGCTGCTGATATGAAGCTTGCAGTGAACAATGTTGTTGTAAATGCTCAATGGCATGTTCATGGATATGGTAATATCGCATCAATAAACAGTAATATCCCATCAATAATACGGTACCCTCAACTGGGGGATTCAACCGCATTCATAATGATGGCCAAAGCGGGGTCATAAACCCCAGTTGATGGTAATTAATGTTCATGGTAATATCATATCAATAAAGGAAAAATGAGTAAAAATCACAGAAAATGTCATTTATTCTACCTCTACATCATCTACAATGAAAGAGGAGTACTTCAGAGTACTGTTAGTAATGGATGAGTACACTCTGCATTCTTCAAATATTTTAAAATGAAGTTTTATTCCAAGTGTCCCGAGTATCCCCGTTCGACGGGGCTACTCGGGACACTATTTTTTTTGCTTCTGGCACCATACGAATAGCATATGGAATTTTGTTGACCATGCTATTTGATAGCCCTCACAAAGAGCTATAAAATGAGGCTAAATTTGTTTATGAAATGTTTCATCTTAAGAAGTTATTAACAGTTGTTAACAAAAGAACTCTCAAAACTGTCATGAGTAGCCCCGGTTGACGGTATTTCTATCTTAACAGCCACAACTAGAACTTTTCTGCCATTTTGTGAACTGCAAAATTCCTGCTAGTTGAATTGCCTCCTATCTAATTTAAAAAAAAAATGTATGATTGTGACAAGAGATTCCGAATCTAATGAAAATTTGTCATTTTGGAGCTGCAAGATTTCAGTAATGAGGAGAATTCCATTCCTGCTCCAAAGTCTTAAATGACAAATTTCCAAAAACTTTGTAATCCATGGCCTGATTGTGCAATTAAGTTAACAATTATATTGGAGGTAAGAAGATGTTAGAAATATCCCTCACCTGAATCATATCATTTCAGTGGGGTTTAAATGTTAGGGCTTCAAGATAAAAATCATCTACATATTTTGTTCCAATTGGATATACATATTCACAAAGTGTTGTTCATTGAAATTTAGATTTCTGTGGTCAAGAATATATACCGTCAAACGGGATAAAAAGGGACAGGCGGGGTAAATAGGGACGCGCGTCCCACATTTCGTAGAAATGTTGTAGCAGCTAAACTAATCAAAATATTGCAAAACTAATAATAGTGGCGTGAATTTACTATCTACTATGATACTACGATAATTTACTATCTACTATGTATAAAGTTAGTCAAGAAATCAAACATTTACTATCTCTAAAAAATTGTTGAAAAAAAGTGTGAAAAGTGCGATTTTGGAAAAGTACCTCTGCTAAGGTCTGGAGTAAAAAAAAAAATTTGCTGTATTAAAAAATTTTACTTGCGTAAAAGTTGCACCCATGTGTCAGCTATAAAACATAATTGATGGAATTTACCTATCTTATTAAAAAAAATGGTAGCCATTTCCGTACTATGGGGTTACTCGGGACACCCCCCCTGGGTAATTAAGGACACCCTTAAAAATGCATTTACAGTAGAACCTCAGTTAGCAAAGGCTCCAGTTAATAAAAAAATTGATTGAACAACAAAGAATTTTGATTACATTTACCTTGCTTGGCAAAAAAAAAATTCACTTATCAAAAAATTAGTGCATTATTGGTCATCACAAAATTGTACATAGAATGCTATATATATATAGAATTGTGCACCGAGCATCATAGAATGAAAAGTAATTGACCTAAAACTATGATTTATTTCTTCAAAACAAATGATGGTTGTCACTAAAACATTATTTTCTGTTTCAGGTATGTTTTTTACCATTTTTTTGTTATAGTGAAATCACTAGACTCGATTAAAATTGTGCAAAATTACAAACCATCCTGTAAGCTTACAGATTCAGAAGAAATGCTAAATGGCTGCTGATATGAAGCTTGCAGTGGACAAGGTCGTTGTCAATGCTCAATGGCATGTCCATGGATACAGTAATATCACATTAATAATATGGTAATTAATGAATATGGTAATATCATATCAATAAAGGAAAATAAAGTGAAAATCACAGTAAATGTCATTTATTTTACATCTACATCATTTACATTTACAATGAAGAAGGAGGACTTTGGAGTACTGTTAGTAATGGATGAGTACACTCTGTATGCTTCAAACATTTTAAAATGAACTTTTATTGCAAGTGTCGCGGATTACCACATTCCCAGGGGTAAATCGGGACGATTTTATTTTGCGTCTGGCACCTTACGAATAGCATATGGAATTTTTTGAAGATGCCATTGGATAGCCCCTGCAAAGGCAATAAAATGAGCTTAAACTTGTTTCTGAAATGTTTCATGGTAAGAAGTTATTAACTAAAAATGCTCAAAACTGTCCCTTTTTAGCCCATTTGACGGTATATACCTTTGCCGAGATTATATTCTTTTTAATTCATTACAGATATCAAAATTGCTACTGCCTGAAATAAAACTGCTTGACGTGAGAAACAGAAAAACGGTAGTAGTGTAGCAGTGTTAAATTGCACTGTAACTGATCTCAACTTCTCAAGGGAGGAGGTAACAACTCTGCTAAACATATATACATAATTAAGATAATTTTCCTAGAAGAAGATGGATGATGAAGCAGAGACATACAAACTGTGGAGAATCAGGAAAACCATCATGCAGCTGTGCCATGATAGAGGATACCTGGTAACCCAGGATGAGTTGGAGCAGACAGTGGAACAGTTCAAAGTGAGTGCCATTTGCCTGACAGCTCAAAGCAAGTGCCATCTGGCTTTATGTGGATACATTCTTTTCAAACCGTAAGATACCCGTATAAGGTAGTTAGTGACAGGCAATTGAGTCTGCACCAATCTTAACATTTTTCAGTTTCCATACAGTGAATCAATTTTTTTTGGATATAATTCTTATTAATAAATTTTTTCTCAATGTCAACACAATTCAATATTTTCTTGCCCATTTTGTACTTCTTAAACGCCTGAAGCCACGAGTTTTAATTTTGTACAATGTTTGTGAATGATCCTAATGTCTTAGAATGATGATGAATTTCTGTGTATTCATTGCCATTTCCATTATTTTCCAAACATGTGTTAATAATGACATGTGTGTAATCATGCGATAATGAAATTATTGACTACAGGAACAATTTGGGGATAAGCCAAGTGAGCGTCGGCCAGCTCGCTCTGACCTCATTGTGCTCGTGGCTCACAACGATGACCCGACTGATCAGATGTTTGTCTTCTTCCCTGACGAGGCCAAGGTATGCAAATTTATTTCAGGTGTACAACTACTCAAGTCTCAACTTAAGGAGATGCCTATTTGATATAGGTAGTATTCATAAATGTAGGTATTCATTCATCCATTGTTCAGACTCCAGATAATTATATTTTTGCATCTTGTAACTACTGGGCAGACATCAATCTCACTAGCTACACATACATTTTTGCTTCTATAGGGGCCATTGAACCTCATTTAACATATTGATTCTCAAATCACATCACGTGCAGGAATCAAACTTAGCATTATTACTATTATTCTAAGAAGAAATTATGACATCTTATAAACAGAACTTCAAGGGAGAAGACATGGCGGTACCTATATACATACTGAGAGAATTAAGAAAAAGTGTAGTTAATTTTTTCTGTTCAGTTAAATTCATAGAACCTAGTCACTGTTGTGGCTTGTCTTATACTTCATTTATATAGAATCAACAGTGAGACTGATATAATTCTAAGCTATTAATTTTTCATTCTCTTAAATATTCAATATATATAATGCTAAATGATGTTGCTCCTTTAATAGAAGACCTAGGTATTTAATTTTATTAGTAAGTGGCTGTTAAAGTATTTCTTGCAGATTTTATTCTTAATAGAACAAAGATTTGCCAAGTAAATGAGTGAACTTCATTGTAATGTGCTAGGAATGAACTTAATGAAGAAAGAATTGATTGTCTTCACAGGTTGGGGTTCGCACCATCAAGACCTACTGCACCAGGATGCAGGAGGAGAACATCCAGCGTGCAATTATTGTGGTGCAGGCCGGCATGTCCTTCTCTGCCAAGCAGGTGTGTGGTGTGATGCAGTGCAGGCCGGCATGTCCTTCTCTGCCAAGCAGGTGTGTGGTGTGATGCAGATCAGGCTGGCATGTCCTTCTCTGCCAAGCAGGTGTGTGGTGTGATGCAGAGCAGGCCGGCATGTCCTTCTCTGCCAAGCAGGTGTGTTGTGTGATGCAGATCATGTAGTGACTGAAACACTGTGTCCTGGTTCCTGTGGTGTAAAAATGTGTTCATAAAACCACACCCATTATTTTAGAACCATATCCTCCTGTGTTCAACAGCATATCCCTTATTTTGGAGTTTACCGGTTCTGCGTGGATCAACAACGTGACAGCCTCTATATTCTATAATTTGAATTCTTGGGGTCGGTCTGCCGCCTGAGCAACGAGGCAGCGGGAGGCTCAGTGAAACTATCCCGCCCTATTTTCGCTATGAACTGATTATCATTACCATCCAAGACTTATGATTGTTGATTGTGTATGTTATCATTACCGCCCAAGTAAACTATTACTAAGAATTACTAACTTACATTTATGTTCATTATCATAACTGATGTTGGATGTGTGTTGCAGGCGCTGGTGGACATGGCACCTAAATACATCCTGGAGCAGTTCCTGGAGTCGGAACTGCTGATCAACATAATGGAGCACGAGCTGGTGCCGGAGCACGTCGTCATGACGCCCGAGGAGAAGCAAGAGCTCCTCTCTAGGTACGTAATTATTCTGCTCTATGAACAGTGGAGTGGTTCTAGATGGCGTTCCTTCGCTTCTCCCTCTCTTCTTGCAGTCCGCGTCACTTTACATGTGAGTGCCTGCTGCTGCTGCTGGTGTCAGTCGTCTGACTGGTGTCACTTTTGTTAATTTCATTTAAATCAATTTCACTGGCGCAAGGTGCGTACCGGTCATGGAAAACCTGGAAAGTCATGGAATTTGATTTTTCATTTTCCAGGCCTGGAAAGTCATGGGATTTCATTTAAGGTAATGGAAAGTCATGGAATTTACAAGTAAATGAAGAAACAAATGAAGTGTTTTTCTGTGCTGCGTGTGTTAATTCATTAATGCCGAGCGGTTCTATTTGGAATCAGCGGAGAAAAATTGATTCATAACAAGATCAAATGAATATACAAGTGGATGCGTAGGTTTGATACACATCTTGTACATGTTCTGGCAAAGTTTGGTTCTGCTGCGCCGAGTACTCTCTTTTCAGTCAACATTCAAATATTACTAGAACCAGGTCATGGAAAAGTCATGGAATTTTTTTTCTCAATACCGTTACGCACCCTGCTGGTGTTGCTAGAGATTTTCACTACTGGTGTTGATAGTTTCGCTAATGCCACTGAAGTCACATGTGTTTGTTGTCACTTGTGTTTGTTGTCACTTGTGTTTGTTGTCACTTGTGTTTGTTGTCACTTGTGCCACTGGTGGCCTAATATGTAAACGGCGAGGTCGTAAGTTTCCAGTGGTTTCCGTACATTTTGAAGAGAAGCTGGAGCTGCCGCAAGGCCATTACCATCTTATGAATTTCATGTTATAGCTTCCACTTTTAATTGTTTTATATGCATTGTAGGTACAAGCTCAAGGACAATCAGCTGATGCGCATCCAGCAGGGCGACCCCGTGGCGCGGTACTTCGGCCTCAAGCGCGGCCAGGTCGTCAAGATCATCCGCCCCTCCGAGACCGCAGGGCGATACATCTCGTATAGGCTCGTCGTCTGACCTGTGTGCATGCTGTGTGGTGGCTGTATGCCTGCTGTGTGGCGGCTGTGTGCCTGCTGTGTGGCGGCTGTGTGCCTGCTGTGTGGTGGCTGTATGCCTGCTGTGATGTGTGGTGGCTGTATGCATGCTGTGTGGAGGCTGTGTGCCTGCTGTGTGGTGGCTGTGTGCCTGCTGTGTGGTGGCTGTATGCATGCTGTGTGGTGGCTGTGAACGGGCTGTGCGGTGGCTGTGTGTCTGGTGTGTGGAGGCTGTGAACCTGCTGTGTGCTGGCTGTGTGATATTTACTTTTTGTGTCGTGGGCATGCGTTGAGTGGTGACTGTAGTATACTGACTGCATGTTCACATCTAGACTGATGCACTGGTTTTACACTGCAAAATGGCTGTGCACCTGAATAAATTCGTACGAATTTCATTACATATGTAACTCTTCTTTCTCATCCATGTTTCTGTAGATATTTTATGTTATTTCATTAATATCCATTTCGTGTTCACTTCGTCTACATCGTCAACCTGTGGCATGCGTTTCATTGTCTCGTGCGACATTTTGATTCATTTACGAATCAACACTTTCATTTTGGGTCTACTATTTTATTGGTTACATTTTGAAGTCATTATCGCTATTTCCTGTAAACTAATCATCAAATTTGCCTTCCCAATTTCGGGCACGGGGACGAATTTTTTTCAAGCATTCTTAACATTAGTTCACTCTTATCTACAATTCTTCGTACGCTCTCGTTTTACACCATTAAATATAGAAATGATTCGTCTCTTTACTTACCCACAATTCTTGAATATAGGAAGCGATGCCGCTACTTGCAAACTCTTCGGTGATTTATTGAAGGCCAACCGCCTATTATGGCACTCAATCTTGAATTATTTACAATTGAAACCCGTTCATATTGTACCTATCATTCAATAACCAGACGAGCGTAAAGCGACCTTTAGAGTGGCCTCTCGAGTCCTTTGCTTGAAACGACCAGAGCCACTGTGTAGACCGGCTCCCGGCTACTGTGATGGACAGTTGTGAACAATTTTATGCTTGTATTTCTTGTTTTGTTTTTGAGGAACATCAAAAAGATGACTGAATATGATATTGCCGCCAGACATCTCGCCGATACGGGCTAGATCTCACCCAGCAAACTTGTTATCCTTTGAGGAAAAACATTAAATTCTTGTTCCTCCGAATAAAACAAATTCACTCGTAAGAACAAATAGATTTCTCAACCCAAACTTTGGTACCATTGGCAAGAAGCAATGCAGATCCCTTTCCAATTATATTCCGACGGCGATTGTGTACAGTAAGGCTGCAAATGCTGTTCAAACTATTCCGTTTGATAGGAATAATTTTTTTGGATTAAACTTATCCGGTCGGAAAGCCGTAAGACACGGTGGCACGATCGTCTGACGTAGGTTGAACTTGAAAGGCTCTGTATCGTTGATTTATTTTAAAGGTGCATGAGTAAAGTAAGATCTACCAATGTGTGAATTATCAGTGGAACCTTAAGTGAATTCCACACCGTTCAGCAATCAACCGAATGCCAACGTGTCTGAACCCTCAAACGATAAAAAAAATTCATTGACACCACTGCCTTTAGCCGATAGGCCGGTTTTTACATATTTACGAGTAGTTTATTAATTGGTTCGAATACAGGTATTTCCATCCGATCCTAAATATTGATGAGCTTAACTGTCGTTAATCTGATTTTATTTAGGGGGTTGGTCTCTCCGACATGCCAATATGAGAGAATATTGTTTTCCTCTTGCCAAATATCCACGTAATTACGAGTGCCTGGCGTCATACAGGAATCATGAGCGTCAATGACACGCACCATCTGAAGTCACTATCAGCATCGACAGAATATTGATATCACATTGGACAAAGTATTAATTGAGGTAGCTAAGTATCAATCAATCCAAGATTAAATGAATTAATTAATCATTGTAATAAAGCCATTCGATTGCTTGAATGGCAACTTGAACAGTAATTTAAAGCGAAGAGTGTGCCACAAAAATACACCATAACTTTAAGTACTCATCGTCATATTCAATAATTTTTAAAATGATGATGTAACTGGACTGGAAACGTTCCCTATAAATATGGTGAATTTTATGACGCTTTGAAATCAAATGCCAGGCGGCTCCAAGTGAACGTCATTATTAGTTGACTTTCGAATTGATTTCTTCAAACATTGAACCGCAATGCCGACGACAGCTGAAAGTTGGATGCCCAACATTCGGTTTACCTCTTCTTCGAAACACTGATGGATATATAAGTGTTTCACAGGCCATGGGCCTATTTCTTCAATGCCGACACTTCTATTCTATTAGTGATAACCTGGAGATCTGATGCCAGCAATGAGTAAAGTGAAATTGGAAGAAACATTATGAAGACTTAAACTAAATAACTATTGCTGAGTCCAGTGTTACAATCGGTCAACGTGCAACTTCTTCTTCACCTACAACTCGCAACCACCACCTTAAGCGTACAAGTTACCATTGTATTTACGAACTAATAATAGGCAAAAGTAAGTTAAAGAGCGAAATCCCTGGATCCGAAGTGATCGAGGTACGAAATCCAGGCAGTGAAGAATTTTGGATAGGTGATATATTCTCAGGTTTATAGAACAAAATGGATCGGAAGGCCTACCACGTTTTACGGTTCAACCTCCCATCGCTTCGCCAAGGGGTACACCGAGATATTCTGACGTTGCGCGATTTACCGACTGCATGTGGATCGCCCTGCCACCTGTCTCGATTATATTATCTATACTATAGTCATTACCTGCTGGAACTGAACAATTTTTGTATTGAATATGTTCTAAAAATAAATTTTAACTATTACAGGAGTTTCATAGTTTAACCACTTATTTTACTCATCCTTATACAATTTTTGCACGCTATCGTCGTTATTGTCTTACCAACTTCACTACAAAAAACACTGAAAGCGAAACGGCTCAGGAATAATTTCGTTTCCCATGTCTTTTAGAAAATGTTCATTGTTTATAGACGTGAATTACTCATATATATGAGAGTCAGAGAGGCAGGATTTTGAGAACTTAGACATTGTGTCATTTGGTGTTATTAAAGTTAAGGTGCTTGTACACGGGGATAGTGCAGACGGCTAGTAAATCTGGCTAGTGTCGGTCGCTTGGTGACTATCCGGCTAGTAAGCCTGTACACACGAGGAGAGTATAAGGTGCCGCTATCTTCTCGTTCGCCGACGGTTCGCGCCCGCCAGTGAGTCGTTAGAAGCCGTCGAGTGAGGTCTGTGAAGATGGATAGTGTGATCACCTTCAACAACTCGAGTCTGTACGTCTTTTTTATACTCCATATTCTAGCCCTTAAAAATACAGCGTCGGGAACAACTAAACCCTGACTAATAAGGTCCTCTTTCCGTTTCAAAATACTCGTTTCTCTCTTCATTTTGTTGGAGTAACCATCATGGAAAACATTATACTTTAATTCATATTTTTGGAATATTTCAAAGAATAATTGAATATCGTCTGGAATCCACTTTGTTGGATTCCTCTTAGAAACATTATCGTTCAAACAAGCCATGATTCACGTGACCCAAGATACTTCATAGGAGCGGCACAAATGCTCTCACCATGGCTGCATCAGCGCTACTAGCCACTTCTCCAGCCAAGATATCAACACATCGTTGTATCTCTCGACCGCGCATTGGGCACTTGCCGGCGCATGCCTCCGAAGCGGCTGAACCCCTATACACGAGGCTAGTAGCGTGGACAGTTCAAGCGCCGGATGAACTAGCGGCTAGTACTATCCCTGTGTACAGGCACCTTTATCTAGCAGTGGCGCTTTCAGGATTTAAATCCCCAAAACTCTATAGAAATAACTTGATAGGTAAACGTAAACAAGATTAGCAATTTTCAGAAATGCGATGCAAAAATTACTGATCAGTTATGAAAATCTGAAATCTTATGAAAAGGTTTCAGAATTGATAAGAACAGCACAGAAACGAGTAAAAATGACACGTGGTTATCTGATTCAATTTGGATGCTTACGGTTTGTTGAGGGTACACTGACCAATCAATGGTAGAAGAATACGACAAATTTGCGGGCACTCGACGCTCGGTTTAGTTTGATGGCTTTATGGGAATACCGTGGAAATGAAGATAGGATTTTCGTCAGTACGTGCCAAATTGAATGACAATAAACGGATTCGGTAGGTAATTTATGGATACAAAGTATATATATGAATGAAAATGTCCCTATTATTTCAATAACGTGCTATGAATACGCTTGTGAAAAATATATTTGTGTAGTCGATGGAGTGAGTCTTGGAAATGACAAAATAGTCGTATTTAAAATATTTAGCTATAAGAGTGGGATCATGAAAAAGTGGAAAGAAAAAAATTTATTTCCTTATTTAGAAGTCAAAAAATTTGTAAAACCTTCATCGGCACTTTGTGTAAATGTCATTTAACTTGAACTGACTTATCGTTTAACAGTATCTTTCATTCATAAATCGTCTGACGAAGGAACTTTGGCGACCGACTGGTAAGAAGCTCAAGTGACATTTCTGTTCAAAAAAGGTGACAGAAGTACCGTCCTGTCAGTCTCACAAGTGTTGTGTGTAAGGTGATGGAATCGGTTGTGAGGGATAGAATTATAGTTCACTTGCCTGTTAATCATCTCCTTTCAGACTATCAGCATGGCTTTTTTTGCTGGCAGATCATGCACCAGTAATATCCTATCTACCTTTAATAATTAGACTCGCCTACTGGACGTTAAGGAGCCAGTGGATGCAGTGTACCTCGATTATGCAAAGGCATTTGACAGTGTCCCGCATGAGCGGCTGTTGCGCAAAGTGAAGTCTTTGGGAATAGAGGGAAACGTACTCCAATGAATCAGAGATTTTCTAGTTGGTAGACGACAACGTGTCAGTATTAACGAAACCTTATCAGACTGGGCAACTGTGCGCAGTGACGTACCGCAAGGAAGCGTTTTGGGGCCTGTTTTGGTTGTCGCTTTTATTAACGATCTACCAGAAGTAGTGTCCAGCGTGTGCTCCATGTATGCCGACGACGCAAAAGTTTATAATACAGTGACGGATGCCTTAAATAAAATGCAACTGTAAAATGATCTTGATAGTTTAGTTGACTGGGCTGATGCGTGGCAGCTGCGTATTAATGCTGACAAGTGTAAAGTACTTCACCTCGGGAAGAACAATGAACAGCAAGAATACAGTATGAGAAGACATGGTTGCAACGAGAGGGTTTTGATTGAGAAGGCTTGTGTGGAAAAAGATCTGGGAGTTTGTGCCGACAAGGAGCTGAAATTTTCTAAGCACATTGAAGCGTAAGTTAATAAATCTAGTAAACTGCTTGGGCTGATCTGAAGCTCACACGAGTACCTAGATATAGAAGCGATGAAGCTGTTGTTTATCACTGTAGTGCGCCCGAACCAAGATTTTGGAAACGCCGTGTGGTCACCGAAACTTGTAAAGGACAAAAATACAGTAGAGAGTGTTCAAAATCCAGGCTTTAATTCCAGGCTTTAAAGCTAGAATTTGAAACAAGAACTAACGCAAAGGACCACGGCTATAAACTAAAAGAAATCAGCGGTGCAACTTATCCACGCGACAGCACTTCTTCTCGCTTCGAGTCCCCGACATTTGTGGAGCAGCTTGCCTGATGATATTGTTGACGCTCCGAGTATGAACGCGTTCAAGAACAGATTAGGCAAGTCGGGAGCACAGCCGTGCACCACCAATTTTGTGCACCAATAAGCCCTGAATCGAACGCCTTGGATCTCTCCGGATATCCACCGATCAGCCTTGCACCACTCGGCTTTGCCCTCTTCCGGCCTTGACCACCACCTGCCGTGCACCACCAGGTCGCGGATCGAATATGACTTCCGGGCATCGTTAAATTACGTAATTTTACGTTCATCGCGTCTGAGGTTAGGTTTCAGATAGCATGGTTCTGTGCCAAAATTTATCGTCCTTCGACAAGTGGCCGTTCGACCGAGGGCTGGTTCGACCCACGGCCTAGATACGGACGGCTTGAAATGTTGAAGGCTACGTCCCGGAAGGCAGGAATCATGATAGTCCATTACATCCAGGGCAGTGGTGGTCTTCGGCAGGCGACCCGGCAAGTCTACGCTTTGTCTAGTATTGAAAAGCCTAGTACCATACGGAAGAACAAAGTCTAGAAATGATTTCAAACCACCGCTCATTGAAAAGATTTGATAAAAAACTGTTTTTAGCGCATTTTCTCATTTATGTAAAAATGCACTATTGTGCTCGCCATGTCCGTCCGTGACTTCACGTTTTCGTCGACGAGAAAATGCGCTATCTGTCACTTATGGCAGTAAGTACTGAGTTATATTTTTAGGATCTGTGAACAAGTCACGAAAAGTACGAGAATCGGCGCCAGGCATATCCAGGCCTATTCTTACACGCCGAATATACTATACTATTTAAAACGATTAATTATTTTAGTTCAATACGACTACGAACAAAGAGATATCCAGATGAGTCTTCTTGAATCGGCTCTTCTCACTTAGTTATTAATAATACAGGGTGCGCCACAGGAACTTACTTATTTGAAAAAATTCCTGTGCGGTTAGTTGGTCGGGTAGAGGGGCGAGAGGGGGTGCATCTGAAGGGGAAAGTTCCCAAGTTTGTTTCTCAAAGTTTCTCAAATAAATTTGCTGTAGTGCAAGAATTAACTGAACGCGATTTTGTTGCCCGTCAAAATGCATGTAAAATGCTGGTTGACAACCTGCCTAAAGACGCGGTCGTTTTTTTCAGTGGCGAGGCTCACTTCCACATTTCCGGCTGCGTCAACAGGCTAAACATGCGTTATTGCTGTGGTGTAAATCCACGTGAGTTTCACCAGAAGCCACTTAACTGTGAGCGAGTTACTGTCTGGTGTGCGACGTCGGTAATGGGAATAATTGGTCCTTATTTTTTTTAAGAAAACGAACGCGCAGTTACCGTTAATGGAGCTCGTTACAGGAACATGATCGAGGAACTTTTTCTTCCAAGACTCGAAGAAATGAACTTTAGGAACGTGTGGTTTCAGCAAGATGGAGCCACAACACATACAGCACGAGACTCGATGAATTTGTTGCGGCATCATTTCCCCGACCGCCTCATCTCTCTCAGAGGCGATCTCCAATGGCCGCCACGCTCTCCAGGTTTGACTCCATGCGATTTCTTTTTATGGGGATATTTGAAATTTCTGGTTTATGTCGATCGACCACGGACCATAGCACACCTCAAGAACAACATTCGCGACGTCATTGCCAAAATACCGATTGATATGCTGCATAGAGTGGGAACCATTATAAAAAAAGCGACTTCATTAGTTTATGCACAACGGAGGCCGTCATTCATGAGATTTAATTTTCAAAACTGTATGAAAAAAAATTTGGGATACTGTTTTCTCGAATAAAAAAAATTTAAAACAATAACTGAAGTACTTTTGTTTTTATTGACCTTTCAAATAAGTAAGTTTTTGTGGCGCACCCTGTATTTCAACCAACATTTGTGATTAAATTTACAGGTAATGTTTTCAGTATAAAACACTTGGCAACAGATTATTGACATTCACTGCTGCACTGGCGACGGGGATCCGGTGTCACGTAGTTGCGCGCCGGCTGTCACTGTACTCTCGATCATGTACATGAATCTACTGCCTCAGTCTCGAGTTGTGCGTCGCGTTGAACTCATATTCATTTGTTATTATTTCATGAAGGTTAATTTGCAGTGTTTACCTTAGAGACAAATTACCAATGAATTAATATATATTATTTAGTCTAATTGAAATGTAAGAGTTTCAATTTTTATTCTCTTAAGTGCAGCTTTTATTCCTCTAAATGTTTCTTGATTTCAATCTTGACTACAAACTTTGGACCGAAAAACCGGCCAAGGTGGATCGAAAATAAAAGATTAACCATCATTTCTAGAATCCAATCCTGAATCACGGGGTACGAAGTGCCCGAGGTTTGACCACGACGTATTAGAAGTTTGATTTCGTACCACGAGTTTTCGTCGCCATTATTGAGTGCGTTAGTAAATATTTCAGCATCTGAAGCGGCGTGAGAATTGATCAAGTAATTTACGCTGGCCTCAACCCCGGAGGGCGGTGGGGTAAAAGTCAGAGAACATCATGTGGCTCGTATTAATATACATTCTTGAAGTGAAAGTTCCTATTTTAATTTTTTTCCCATACGCTTGTATCAAATTTTATATTTATTTAAAAATGTCTCGCTAATTCTAGTTACACTTAACGGTGAAATTGTACGCGAATTAAGTTGCCTCGTCTTCATAATTATTTAAACAAATTGCTTTTGACTTCTGTGTAAATAATTATGAATAATTTTGCTGGGTAACAGGCACACTCAAATTCTTCAATTTACACGATCGTGTTGGTCACAACAGACTTCTTTTTATTACCATATTTGTAAGTTAGGCTTTCGCGCTGCACGGGGTCAGAAAGGGAGACGAAGTCTGTTGGTTCCCAAAAGAATAAAAAGAACAACAATAAAACCTTCAAATCGTAAAGGTAAAAAATATATCGATCAGATAATACATACGAAAAAATTATTTACAGTGATTTAAATCAAACTCCATATTACATTCCAATAAAACACATCCAGACATACTATACTAACCTCTGCTCGGGTTCCACAAAAGCACAATAATTATCACTTAACGCACACTTACCACATTCCGCCTTCCGTAATTTATAAACTAAAATGCTGTAAATATATTACAACAATAAATAAATTTCAACTATAATTAATTACTCATGAATGGTAAGTAATGTTAAAAAATAATGTCTAAATAAAATTTATCTACTCCTGCCAAATTTTTACAAATAAATTTACAATTGCATGATTATCGTCACCATTTCATACATATTTTCTCAAATTTTAAATCGTAGTTAAAACGAAACGTGAAATGTAAAATAAAACGTGGCTTAAAATACAGAAGCATGCGACTCATTGAATTCCAGGTTTGCAGCAGGCGACAAGCCTTTCATAGAACTCTGTCGCTGGTTCCCTGGATACACTCATTGATTTCCGGCTTCCGTTCAAACATTTAGTAGCTCAGGGAATTAGGTGCCAAACTTGACTTAGCCTCTTCCTCCTCTGTACCCCACTTTACCAACCCCGACTCTCTCCTCTGTACCCCATATCTTTCTCCCCCTCATCCCCTTTGTATTTCATCGTACAAACCACCTGCCTTCCTGTATCCCATCATACCAATCCCCTCTCCACACTATGTCCCATGGTTCCATCCCCCTCACTTCCTCTATATCTCATCGTACAAACCCCCTAACCCCCTGTACCCATCGTACCAACGCCCTCTCCTTCCTCTGTACCCATCGTACCAACCCCCTCTCTCTCCTCTGTACCCCATCGTAAACCCCTCTCTTTCGTGTACTTCAACGTGTCAATCTTGAAGTCACCTCCGCTATGCAGGGATCAATGAATAAGAATCAATGCATCGCAATCATAGACACATGACTGCCGCGCGACCATAACCAGTCAGTCGGTGTCGTTATAGCGAGGTGGGCAGAGTGGGTCTAGGTGGTGGGGCCACTCTAGCTGGTGGAGTCACGATCCTGGTGGTGGGGGCACTCTAGGTGGTGGGGCACTGTGGGTGTTAGCACCACTCTAGATGGTGGGGTCAAGCTGCCGTCCACCTAATCACTAAAGAGGCAGATCAGTTAGGCGAGATCAGTGGGGCGGCGCGATTTTAGTTAAAATTTAGAGGTCTTTAATGTTTTTTCGAAATCATTTAAATTGCGGTAAATGAATTCATATAGAAGCTTATAAATTATGTAAATGTTCGGTTGTTCTTCAGCCTGATATTTAATTAACATTAAACTATGCTTAAGAAATATCACTAATTTTTAAACCCTGATATCTGGCAAGCGACTAAAATACAAAGAATTGCTCAGTAAAACAAGACTACCTTGATTAAAAAAACATTTTCTTTTACAGTTTTCACCGGAAAAAAGCTCAACTGCATAGAAATTTAGAGGTTTAATTTGATTTCTGTGTGTAATAGTGAACTTATCAGCCCTGTTGAAATGCTTTCATCCTAGGAATTTCGCTTGAACTTGAAGGCTAACATGGTTGCGTTGACGGGATGCGTTCGTGCCTGTGCCGTGACGACCTTCACGCAACTACCCACTTAAGTGGTTTAAACATTATAATTAGATTAACTGCTTATTATTTAAATAACTACGAATAAGCACAGCATGACGGCCTTGACTTCTTTGGGTGAGTTCAATTCAAGGAGCTGTAGTTTAATTTTGATTAAGAGGAATGGAAAGTTGAAACTATTTTAAACTGATGATGTGGCTGGTTTCCGAAACGTTCCCGATTATGAAATTGTTGATGTAATTGACGCTTTCTTTGCTTTAAAATACATTTGTAACTAAATTAAGCAAATGGAACACAATATTAATTACTGCTAAATAATTCAAATATTAGTTTCGAGTGCAAAATGTTCTAAGATAATTTTTAGGTTGGAAGTTATCCATTAAGAATGAAGCTCCTGCGAGACCTTTTTAGCGTGGGCGATATAATACTTGTACTTAGTGTATATAACATGATATACATGGCATGAGCGACATGGCACAAGATTTCAAAACATAACATAACATAACATAACATATTGATCTCGGCGCTGAAGTGTAGGCCTGATGTGGCCTGTTGCCGATTCTTTTCCTTTTCGTGCCTTGTTCACACAAGATCTAAAATCGTTTCATTTGACCGGATATTTTCATGACTGACGATAGTTTCAAGTAGCTACTAGACTTCCACCGGGTTCGATATGGTGCTGGGCATTTCAAATCTGAACATATATTTTTCCATAGCTTTATCTACTCTGTTCTTGAACGCGTTCATACTCGGAGCGTCAACGATGTCATTGAGGAGGCTGTTCCACATGTCGGTGATTCGGAGCGAGAGGAAATTTGTCGCGTGGAGAAGTTGCAGCGCAGTTTTTTTGTTTAAAGCCGTGGCCCCTGGTGTTGGTTCTTGTTTCAAATTCTTGTAATCCTTCGGGGACCTTGTATAAATCATGAGTATACTTGTATATTTCAATGAGGTCCCCACGCAGACGTCGATAACTGAGGCTTGGAAGCTTCATAATCTTTAATCTTTCTTCATATGACTTGCCTTTCAAGCCTGGAATTATCCTTGTTGCACGTCTTTGCACATTCTCTAGTAAATTTCTGTCCTTTTCAAATCTCGGTGACCACACAACGTTTCCAAACTCTAGATTCGGGCGCACGACAGCAACAGACAACTGCTTCATCGCTTCTGCATCTAGGAACTCGTATGAGCGTCTGATTAATCCAAGAAGTTTGTTGGATGTGTTAGCTTGCGTTTCAACATGCTTAGAAAATTTTAGCTCCTTGTCGACATAAACTCTTTAGGGATTAATAGGTGAAGGCTGTTTAAGAAGTGGTGAATTGAGATATATAAGTGGTAACAGCGGTTCCTCATCCTCTCCCTATTGTTTGTAGTATATAGGCATCACGTGGGGCTTGAGTAAGAATCAGAAGGTTTAGTAGTATGTTTATTGATGGGATGAAGAACGGCACGACCAACACCTGTGGGGCGGTGTGTCATTAGAATACAAACATGACACGACCATATTGGAGTAAAAATATAAAAAGAATACAAAACACAATTTTGTTATTACAGTCACATGAAATAATCTATTACATTAAAAGAATTGCGTCGTCTAGAAAATGACTTAGCTAACCGATGCGCGCTTGGCAGATGGTTCTGCACTGGCGTTCTTACGAAATTTTCAGAATATTTTTTTGGTACAATTTAACATAAAATATTTCCGACATTCACTAAACTTCATCATTTAGTAATTACGCGAGTGCTACTCGTGCTCAAAATTGATGATTAACTAGCTGTACACTTTTAAAATGTTTTAAAACGAAATTGATGAAATACGAAATACATAATCGAGATCAAGATAATTAGGTAAGATATTGTTACAGAGGTCGATAATCACGAGTTTAAAGTTTTAATACAATTAATTATGACATTCGAGAGAAATGCTAGTGCGAGATGTGAATTCGAGTCACTACAACTCCGAGATCTTTTTCCACACTAGACTTTTCAATCATTACTCTCTCGTTGCACCCATGTCTTCTCATACTGTAATCTTGCTGTTCATTGTTCTTCCCGAGGTGAAGTACTTTACACTTGTCAGCATTAAACCGCAGCTGCCACGTATCAGCCCAACTAACTAAACTGTCAAGATCATCTTGTGATTGCGCTTTATTTGACGCATCCTTCTCTGTAATTTCACTTCACAAGTCAATTTTCATTTCGTCAAAAACATTTTTATTCTATCTCTGCCAAAATTTTGGAATACTAAAATCGGAGTTTTGAAAAAATTCTGTAATTCGAGGTGTACGATTGCTTGTTGAATTCACGCGTATCTGTTATTAGAATTAAAGTTTCTTAAAAATATCTTCAAAATTGATTATATAACATTCAAATTACGCCTAACTACAAGAAGATACTCACAGCAAAACAACCAAACATGAGTAAAAAGTTACTAGTATTTACTTGTTCACAACACTAATCTTAATGATTATCATCCCTCATTGTCATAATATGTTGTTCATTAAACTGTTTCATGAAATCTAAGTTTGAAGAATGTGCGATCGGTCGCGAAGGAGCGATATATGAAATTCCAGCTTTACAATGATCCATTCAGCGGCTTGGGGAACCAAGAAAAAATTCCTCATCTTTTAATTTGTGAAAAAAAATCAATGCAGTAAAATAATAATTTTGTGTTCCCTAAACATATACAATAGTTTTTCTCTATTTGTTCTAGATTTTATTAACTAAATAAATATATTAGTTTCCCTGCGTCAGCGTCGCTGCTGTCGCCGCGTCGCTGGAAGCTCCTGACGCGCGTCGCGCTGGCGCTGGCGGGGCTGACGCTGCTGGTGTCAGTCGTGCACGAGCAAGCAGGTGAACTGGGCACGTGTACGGGAGAACTGGGCACGTGTACGGGGGAACTGGGCACGTGTACGGGGGAACTGGGCACGTGTACGGGGGAACTAGGTAAACTGGGGCCGTTTATAAATAGTCGGTAAACTGGGACCGTTTATAAATAGTCGGTAAACTGGGGCCGTTTATAAATAGTCGGTAAACTGGGCCCGTTTATAAATAACCGGCTAATTAGTGCCGTTTAAAAATGGTTGGTAAGTTAGTGTCGTTTATAAATAACCGGCTAACTAGTGCCGTTAACAAATAGCCGGTAAGTTAGTGCCGTTTATAAATAACCGGTAAACTAGTACCGTTTATGAATAGGTGTAGTGGCTTTGGCTCAGCATAAGCGCAGATTTTTCAACCTCCGCCGGTTTCGTCACCGAAATTGTAATCGCGTCTGATACGCAGGATTTGCCGGCGCTCTGCTCAGCTGGTCTGCGTCTGCAGCTGACGCAGAGCACTCAGAAAACGAAGCCAAATCCTGCGTCCTTCTATCTACCGCAGACGGCGCCACGGAGCTGCCTGAGTTGTATGAGTGAGTCGAGCTATCGAAGTACAGGGTCCGCCATATTTATGGCAACGCATGTTTTTTTGTAATTTCTCAATGAAACAAACAGGTGCATTGTTTTTTTATTGGATGAGCCAGTAGCCAAGAATTACCTAAACAATTCTCAGACATCTTTATTCAATATGAACACCCTTATTCTTAATGACGGCCTCCAATCTACGCGGGAAAGCTTCACAGAAGACGCGCAGCATTTCTTGAGGGAACAAGTCCCATTCTCCTGTCAATTTAGACTTCAAACTATACAAAGAATCATGAGGTGTTCTGCAGACCCTACTCTCCAAAATAGCCCACACAGAAAAGTCGAGAGGATTCAAATTAGGGCTTCTTGAGGGCCATTCATTTTTGCTAATGAACGCTGAGATGTGATCCTGAATCCAGTTTTGGGTCATGTTTGAGCCATGTTATTGGGGCAGAGTATTGTTGAAAACTCCATGGTGAGCCATTGAAGTGTTTACCGGCCCAAGGAAACAACACAGCTTCCAAAATGTCCAAAATGTATCGCTGACTGTTCAATTTCACTTCTGAGGGGACAAAAACGAGTGGGGACCTCCCAGTGGCGGTTACCGAGGCCTAAACCATCACGGACATGGGATTTTGACGTCGTGTTGCTGTTTTGGTTGCCACAGATCCATCCCGACTCTAAACTCTGTGTAATTTTGATGGTTAACGCTATGTTCAATGTCACATTTTTCTCGTCACTGAACACCAAGTTAGGCAGCGTGCCATCTTCAATGAGATCCAGAATGTGCTGGCCTTGTGCTCCTGCTTCTGCAGCAAATTTTGTAGCTGAGCGACGAGGGTTTCTCCTCAACTTCTTCCTCGTGTTTTTGACCAATTGTTTTGTTCGGACACTTCGTTTCCTTCCTTGACCAGGTCGATTGCATGTTTCACCAGATTCCTTGAATTTTTTTACCACCTTCCACACAGTTTCACGACGAATTAGGAGTTTTTTTGCAATGACTGAATTACTCTCGCCCTTTTCATGAAGGGTTACAAACGCATATCTATCTACTGCCATAGGTAATGGTAAATTTAGACACCTTAGACTTCTGCAATATAAAATAGAAGAATTAATAGATGATATTAGGCTTCATTATAAAAGAAAAGTCTCCTAGAAACCAATTTATTTTTATATAGCAAACATCCGTTGCCATAAATATGGCGGATCCTATATAGAGCGATTCATACAAGGTTTCTATGTACAGGTTTGTTTTGTCAGGTATGCATGTGTATGGCTAACATTTTAGAAGAAGAAAATTACTGCGAATTATACATAATTCTCTCACTTATTGGACCAAGTCAATAGCAATTATATACAATGAATACGTAGCCAAGCATGCGTTTGGGTTTCGTCCAATTTGTATGTCTATCGAGTCTTTATAAAATGAGCGCAAAAAATATTAACAAAATTTACGGATGAAATGAACTTAAATGACATCTCAATCAACATGGCAATAACGTACTAACGTCTGCCCTACGTGCCAGCAGGGACGTGGTGCCAGACGTCGCAGCGTCCAACGTCTACTTGATGGAGACGTCGCATGCAGCAGCCGTGCTACCCAGGGGGCTCTGTGGGCTGGAGAGGTGATGATGAGTGGTAGTGATGAACGATGTTGATGAGTGCATGGTAATGAATGGTGCATATTGACGATGAGTGGTGAGTGAGGCTGATACTCGGTTAAATGTTCAGCAAGAGATTTGTCAACAAATCTCAATAATTGGTCTTTTATGATCATTTCAGTCAAAGCAACAAAAGCAGTTCCAGCACCAGACAAAGACATCATCTTACTTGAACTTTCATTTAAAGACAAGACAAGTTGAGCAATGTTTTCGGTGGACTACTTGGTAAATCTAAATTTTTTCTGGTTTTCATACACAGTCAATCCAAAGCTACCTAAAATAAGACTTTTAATTTCTTCATATGGAAGTTCAGGTGATAGTAGTAATAGTAGTAATACTATCGAGCAAACTATCGAGAATTAACAAAGCCATTCACCCGTGCGCATACAGCTTCTGACGGTGACCAACCATTGGCATCTTTAACCTTCAAAAAGTTACGGAGATAAACCGCAACATCGTCACCATCATGATAAGTCGTTAACTTAATGTTAGCTCTGCTGAAAGATTGTCCACCAGATTTACCAGTATCACTTGCACAAATTCTTTCACTCTCTAGTTCCAATCTACTTAGTTCCATCTCTTTCTCTACTTCTAATTTTTTAAATCGTACTGCTCCTTCACCAACGCGTTCGCGCTCAAGTGCTCTTTCACTGCGCTCACATCTTTGCTTAACATACTAGCGCAGTTCAACATCTTTATAACCTAACTTGATACCATCAGCAACGAATTCACTTTCTGACATTTTTACAAAAATCACACTGAAAAAATATCATGAAACACCACTAAACAATAGATATACAGAAAGTAGTATCTCACACGTATAGGATCTCTCGAGTAGTATCTCTCAATTCAACACGCGAAATGTGCGACTTCTAGACACATAAGGCAGCGGCGCTCCTCTGATCCTCAAAGTGAGACGCCTGTCCACGTGGTAAACACGTATGAGAAACTTCAGGGACGAGCTTGAAGAAAACAATCTCGAGTCCAACCCACTCACGATCCGCAACCATACACTACACATTGAAAATAATAATACTTGAGAACTGACTGAGACTAATCATTTAACCCTCTACCGCCTGACATGAGTAACCAGAGCAATATTGTCACAAGCCTACTTCCCAAAAAGGATACGTTCTAAGGAACGCAAAATGACTTGCACTTATGGTTGCCGCCACGTACAACTTTAAAATGTTCTCTGTTGCGCACAAGTGTCCTCAGGTTGCTACTCTCAATAGTCTACGTATAATTTAACTAATTTAACTTGAAAATTATTTTCCCGGAGAGTGACATACAGCGAAAGAGGGTTAAGCACGTTAATATTGGAATCGCAGTATTAGCACTCAATAGCCACGGAATATCAAATATGTGCAACAGATTTTACTGTTTAATTTAATTTGATTTAATTTAACATACTACCAATAAGGGCAGGGTAAGTTGACTAGAAACCAAAGTAAGTGAAGAAGTAATGGTTATGTCAATAATGCATAGAAATGGGTTGTTTACAGGAGGACTGCTGGGAAACGACTGAGGCGAAAGGCTCGGTCTATCTTGTCGAGTGTTTCAAATCTGTGACTTATAGAATTTAATTTACAACCCAACAGTGAAAGGCGTTGTAGAACGCCTCTAGAACGTATCCTTTAAATGGCTCGGCTGTCCCGAGCTCGGCTCAAACATTCACCTGAGAATTGCTTCTATTTATCACCATCACCTCTGAAGTTCCCTGACTTACTTTTGATTCCGTCTTCGCAGTTACTGCAAACTAAATCCACAAGCATCCGTGTGGTTCTTGGTGACGGCTCAGTCCTTAGAACCCCCGACGCTGGCAGCCTTGAAGGCACTTCAGGCCGCCTACCAGAACTTGTGCGTGGCTCATGTGAACTTCACCTCGCTTTTTAAGGATACTCCGCTGCTTGAACTTTACCACTCCGAAAAGTTCAATAACACTTGTGAGTATCTTCTCACTTGAATTGATGTTAAGGAAGTAATAGCTTGTGTCTATCCCGGGAACAATTTGAGGACCCGGCATATATTTTTTTGATGTACAATTTACAATACCAAGATGATAAACTGTTCCTCGGGAGATATTGTAAATATAAGTCACGAACATCAAGTCTTTTAAGCGTTCGGATCCAGCAGCAATGTCGCAGCCGTAATGGTCATTTGTCATCTTGGCAGCGCACAAAATCCACAACCTGAGCGACATGAGCCGCGTGGCGCTGGTGTACAAGTTCGGAGGTCTGTACTCGGACATGGACGTCATCGCCCTGCGCCCTCTGGTGGGCGCCACCAACTTCATCGCCTTGCAGGTGCCTCAAGCCAAACTTGCGCGGAATAATTGCGGAGCATATAGCATATAACGGCACCACCCGCAGAGTCCCTCAGCAAACTTATACACCCAAATGAGGCACTTAAAGCACATAACTGCTCTACCCGCAGGTGTCCACTGCTTAGACACTAATTCCTCGGTGTCGATACACCGAGGAATAGGGAAATAACTTCCATCAAATTATAAGAGAACATATCTGGCTAACTTAAAAAATCATGTTCTTTTGCACAGGAAGAGAGTTGAGAAATGATTTCAAGCAGCATCTATCTATTTGAAGCAAATTACGAATGGGAATATAAACTCTAAACATCATGCAAAATACGTTGTGCGCGCCAACAAAATCGCATGCTTCAAAAAATTGGATTATTTTTATGTTATTTCAGGTACTCACTGCAGCATTGCGTTCGGTACTTTGATATTGATTGACTATTGGCATGATTAAATGTTGGGATGATGAAAAATTATCAGGATTGAATATTGGCATGAACGAATACAGGATTGATTGATTATATATTATTGGCATGAATGAATACAGGATTGATTTAATATTGACATGATTGTATGAGATCTGGAAACACTAGCAGGTACGGCGTGCATCCCACAAGGTCTAGTTATTGCTGTACGAAGCGCCTTGTGTGTCAGTCAAGGCTTGAGAGTCGTGTAACCAGACTAGCTTCTTACAGCCGAGTCTCATTCGGAACTAAATCAAGCTTGAAGACCAGAAAATTAGTGACACTGAGAATGAATCTGACACTCAGGATTTATTTGATCTTATACTAGTCCGGGCTTATTAGTTTTTAACATTGTTTAGATTACTTACAGTTGATAATTAGAAACGATGATGAAGAAATTGCATCGACAATATCAGAAACCACAGTTGACGGGTGCCTGAATTAAATTGCATTCAGCTAGCAACCTACAGACTTTCTTTGAAAATAATTCACTGGAGTAACTATAACGGCAATAAGAATAATGCTTACAGGACGACGGGACCGGCTACCTGAACCACGCCATCCACCGCATGCGACGCCACCACCCCATGTTGCTGAGGGTCATGAAGCATGTTGCTGCCAACTATAATGTGAGGGCATGTTGGGCCGTGTTGCTGCCAACTATAATGTGAGGGCATGTTGGGCCATGTTGCTGCCAACTATAATGTGAGGGCATGTTTGGCCATGTTGCTCAGGGTCATGCGTTGAACCACGTCAACATGGTCCAGTAATGATGCTGCTCCTTGAGGGATTTTATGATCTCCAATTGAGGTCATAGAATAGAATAGAAAAGAATAGAAATAGAATGAAGTAGAAATAGAAGTAGAAGCAATTTACACAGAAGTAGAATTAGAAGTGTCGGCACTGAATAAATAGGCCCACGGCCTGTTGCCGATTCTTGTACTTTTCGTGACTTGATTCACAAGGGATCCGGCCTTTGGAACCCGATCTGTCCTTAACTGACGATTGATTGAGATAGCTGCTGGACTTATTGCCTGGTCAGTAAGGTGCTATGACTGAACATATGCTCCTGCATAGCTTTGTCTAGTCTGTTTTTGAAGATGTTCATACTCGGGGCGTCAACGATGCTATCAGGGAGGCTGTTCCACATGTCGGTGACTCGAAGCGAGAAGAAATGTTGTCGCATTGATGTATTACAACGCAGTTTTTTAGTTTATAGCCGTGACTCCTGGTGTTGGTTATTATTTCAAATTCTAGTAAACCTTCAGGGACCTTGTATAAACCGTGGGTATACTTGTATACTTTAATGAGGTCACCACGCAGACGTCGATAACGGAGGCTTGGAAGCTTGTTTAGAAAAAGAGTTTTTTTCTCAAGTTCCTTTTTATGGAAATTTATTTTAATGATGTCGACCGTACATTATGGGTTCTATCGCTTGATCGTCAATTGCTTCAATTCTGTCAGATTGGGGCCGAAGTGGAATAGGCGCGAATAGGTTCAAAGGCGCGTGAATAGATTCTCTTATGAATAGGTTCCTACAAAAAGATTACAGAGAGAGGGTTGTAATGAAACACTGGTACATTTCATAATAAATTGGGAAATTCAATTTCACATATTACGTCATGAGGATCATCAGTATCATGCGGGCGGTGCGGTGAGAAACTGCCTTCTTGACAACACGCGTGTTAATGCTCCACTTACCTAAGCGTCACTCAGAGTACAGCCGTAACATCACTTCAAACTTCGTCTCGTGATAACACACAGAGATTAATGGCAAATTTATTTGTCATTGCTTGATATATCACTTGCAATTTACATCGAATAAATTATCCTGTACTGGCTTCAGAGCTCTGACTTCAGTGGCGAATATGGCCCTTTATGGATTCTCGTGTCGACATGACACTTGGAATATCCCTCTAAAAGTTCTATCGTGAATAATGATCAAAGTCTCTGTAGATTACAACTTCATGTTGAGTACAGCTGTATAGTTCTCACTGTTCTACATTGATCACAGCCTGTATCGATCACAGTGGTATATTTATCCCAAACGGAAAATCTTCCACAACTTTTAACACTACCACCTGTACACTTATCAAACCTGTGTCTCAACAAGTTAATACAATGGAAAGATTAAGCTCGAATCTTGACCCATTTAGATGATCTAATATTTCGTTGGCGATTGCAGGGCCAAACTTGGGCCGCAAATGGGCCCACAGCCATGTCAGACGTGGCGCGACTGCTGGGATGCGATCTAAAACCCGTCGGCTTAGATCGCCTCGTGAACGCTACTCACTACCGAACATCTCAACAAATTCAACCCTGTAATGCAACGAACCCCTGTTCCAGTGAGTTCATAAACATTACCATGTTCGATTCGAAGGTTTACATGGCGCGGCTGGTGAGGCTATGTTGAGAAAATGTTATATACAGCTGTGGTTTTGTGCCTTCATTGCTTGGAACTAACCCAGCGGAGATGAACCGTTCCTTTTATAATTGATACAATTTTTTAATGCTCCCAATTATTACCGGTAACATGTTTCTTAATGTCAGATTGCTCGCTTCTAGCATCTGTCGCGCCATGGGCCGAGGCACTTTTTAATTGTTATCAATAACAATTCTGCATGGACATGTAAGAACTATATATTTGGTTCGTTACTGTTCAGAAATTTGAACTCATTATACAAATATTCTGTTATCCGATATTCCAGAGATATTTATCAATTAAACCTAATAGTATTTAAACCAAATAAACTCACCGGTGACTCATGGGTGGCCGTCCATCGCTTGTCGTTAGCCGCCGATGACTCGCCCTTGAAATGTGCAGACCAGACGGAGGGATGCGACTGGGTGGCACTACGGTCCAATGCCTTCATGGCCGTGCACTACGACGCGGCATATAAACTTTTTCTTGGCCCTGAGAAGAATGAAACTTCTCCACCCATACAAACTGTGAGTATAGGTCATAGTTTACGAGACGCATAGGTACAGGAAGTGTGTCTTTATACTTGAAAAAAGAACTGATTTTAAAATTATTCACCAGCAATACATGAAGATTTACATTTGGGAGGTATTTAGAGAACAAATCTTTCAACTCTTTAGCCATAGACTCAGAAGCGGGACCAAAGTAAGGAAACTGTGAAACTGTGAAGGACCAAAGTAAGTGGCTGTACTGTGAAATTTTATAACTGTGATATGCTCACGGCAAAGAATAACTAATAAATTCTCAAAGCAATAAAAAAAAATTGGCATTCTCACGGTCAACAAACGTTGGCATTTTCACGGCCAAAAGTAACTGTAATATTCTAACGGCCAAAATACTGAGAAATTTTCACAGCCAAGACAAACGGTGGCATTCTCACGATGAAGAACATGTTAAATTCACACGGCAAAAAATTGTGATATTCTCAGTGACAATAACCACTGAAATATTTTCACGGTCAAAAAGCAGTGAGAGAAATTATATCTCATGGTCGTGATGAGCAAAACATTCATATCACAGAAATTTATCGCTGGTTGGAGAGTCTGCATCTCCGCTTTAAGGATCTTATACGAACGTGGTGTCTAGTGCCAGATTAATTAAAAGTAACGACATTCAGTTCACTTTAGTTGAAATTACTGCGGGTGATCTAGACAAAGTTATGTTCAAAACCAATGTCTTAGACAAGCTATCGAATATATATTTAATATTCATAAATACTCGTATGATGACACTCAATAACGTGTTGGAGTGTCACATTAATATATTAGTGTTAAAGGGATACAATGCTGTTCTGCATTGCAGTACCTGTCAAAAGGTTTAACATTCAGGGTTAGAGGATAATGTTCACCGTTTACTGTGGCTACTTGTTGTTACAATACATTTATTTTGCAGCTGTACCCGGACAGCCTGGGCCTGCATTTCTTCAACTACATGACCCGAGACAAGGAGGTACAGTCAGGCAGCCACATGCACAGGCTCGCCTCAGAATTCTGTCCAGTCGTCGCCAAGAAGCATCCGCTGCTCGCATGAACGCTCCAACTCTTTCCTAGCAGCACGGGCAAGGCTGTTACTATGAATGAATGTGTATGTCAGTGAAAGACCTTTCTATGTGTATGTTAGTGAAAGCCATTTCTATATATATGTTAGTGAAAGCTATTCCTATGTATATGTAAGTGAAAGCCATTCCTACGTATATGCAGTGTTCGTACCGGTCATGGAAAACCTGGAAAGTTATGGAATATGATTTTTCATTTTTCAGGCCTGGAAAACCATTGAATTTCATTTCAGGTTATGTTATGGAAAGTCATGGAATTTGCAAATAAAAGAAGAAAAAAGGAAATTTTTTCTGTGCTGTGTGCAGTGTCAAACTGTTTGTGCAGTCTCTTGTTTCCTGCGTTCTGATTGGAGAACCAATCACGTGAGCCCGGTCACCGAGCTCCGTTGTCTTGGACAACGTTTTGATCTACAGTGGCAGCGATCCGCATTCAGCGTGCAATTTCTACATCACCATGCCTGGAAAGTGTAAATTTCATGACTTGCGGTTATGAATAGAAGCTTATCGTGACTGGCTTGCTCGCCATCCAAAGCATGAAGGTATGGCGGTATCATGTACATTGTGTTCGAAAGACTTCTATGTGTCAAATTCAAATATGGGGAAGCAGCTTTGAAGAGCCATGCCATTTTTGAAGAGCCATGAAGATCTATGCACAGCATTTCCACGTTTGCTATTTATCTACTGTTTGAGATGATAGAATATGCACGGTTAGTCTTTCAGATATGCTAAACCTGTCGTTTACGAGTTTTGGATGTTATATTGATGGTCATGGAGAGTCATGGAATTTTGCTTTCTAAATACCGGTACGAACCCTGTATATTTTAGTGAAAGTCATTCCAATGTATATGTCAGGGTAGGCCGTAGGCCGATCTTAATTTTCCCATTTGCACTTGTGTCAGTGAAGGCCGATGTTCATTTTCCAATACCCGTATAGGAATGTACATTGAGTATGTCATAGAAGGCCATTCCCAATTTTGAATACTTTCTAATGCACAATGTTTTATAATATATTTGTTTACTGCAATTGTCACCACTGTCATTATAGTGCAAAGAAATACGGATGAGCAACAAAAAACAGGCTATGTCGGTTGAGTGGAGGAAGAAAATCAAGTACGAAACCCAGGCAAATTTGTTGAATGGAGGAAAGCAACCAATTACAAAAACCATACCAGATTAGAATCGCACCGAGGATCAATGTCTTCTGGTAACGTAAGAAGTAAGGTCGATGTGAAGGGCTAATAGATGTTAGCTTGGAATAAACTCGACCGTGCATTTCTGTACCGGTAATCTTGTCCACGTTAGAAAGTGGAATTGCTTTTCTCATTATACGAACAGTATAATCCCATTTAAACGGCGAAGGCTTGTTGCAGGTTGCTCGTGTGAAACAGGTTACCTACCGGTTACTACAATGTTACTTGTTACACTCATGAAAATTGTTACTCGCCGGGTACTGGTTGATTTCGTCGTTCTGGTTGCTCGCTACCATGTCACCGGCCACTTACGAGGTCCAGGCTCTCATGATATATAGGCCATTCTTGGGATGCTGGTACTCTACGAATCTGTTCTCTTCAAAATTTTGTCAAAAAACCTAACAATGGAAGTGCCGACATGAAGATCTTTACACTCTGGACTGGTTTTTTAGATGCATTGAGAATTTCAATGATTTTCAATATTTTCTATAAAAATGATTTTAATTCTAAAGTTTTTCCTTCATTATTTCCCGACTTCTATTGCAACACGTCCGCGTTGTCACGCCGCATTTCTACTGAACACTATTTCATACCTCGTACCTAGAGGCCATATTTTGTTATTATTCACGCATTTTAGTAATTTGTAAGGAAGTATGAAAATATTTCTTTTCGAAGCAGCGATCGCGTTTACTGAGCTCCACCTGCTGGCTTCCTTTCAGCCTTCATCTTATCGTCGTCCTCTTATAGAAGTTCAGGAGTTATGCACTATTTGTTAATGTGGTGATTACAAATTCTTGTTATTAATGATATTTTTTCTTCCGATCATGAGTTTTATCTATTTCTACGTTCCGTATTTACGGACTTGCTCAATAATGTCAACTTTTTGGTTGATAAAATAGGCTAGGAATGATTGCAGGTGCTTGTTTACCTCTGGTCTGAAGGTTTTCGGGACAGCAGTTGTAGTGATCTAAGTCAGAACACATAAATAGATAAAATTAATAAGGTGTCTGTATTATATGTAACTGATGATCCAAGGTACTGATTTGCGTTGATTTATTGTTCAAAGTTTTTGTAGGTATGACTAGAATAATCACTATTCTTCAGTCAGTATTGTTGATCTCATCAACACAGAGTTTGCTTGTAACACATAAGTACCTAATCCATTTTCTAATTGTTCCTCGTAACATAAACCGAAGTATATAGCAGGTTCTTCATAGCATAAACCTACGTAAATAGCAGGTCACAAATGCTTTTGAATTTCTACAACATGAATGTAGTCATATTTGCGCTTCACGTGCTTCACTTGTTTCTCCATCTAGCGTCTTGCATAGTTCAGCCGCCGGCTCGCCGCGCGTCGCGTCTTTCATCTGCTGTACGCTGCCCCATGTGGTACGAAGAGTGGTTATAGGTTAATAACTGGGTACTTTACCTACCTAGTTCTGTCCTGTGATGGTTACAGTTTTTATAACAATTTTCTACTTTCATATAATCATCATTAAGATTATTCCTTATTGCTAGAGATCAATGATCCTCAACTTAATCAATTCAGTAATCTGTTGCTCAACTCGGTAGGTCAAATGATAATCAACCATGATCCACCTGTGCTCGTGGTCCAACTGTTGAGCGTCATGGGTTCGTGCGTGTACCATGCCTATTGTGGGTCAGTGCCTGCCGTTACCTACGTTAGATGGACTCACCATGTCAATGGTAATTAAGGTGCTTGTACACTGGGGCATGTAGTGGCAGCCAGTACGACTTTAACCCATTAATGACGAGAATTATTTACTGAATTTTTTTTTGGTTTCTTGTGAGAATATTATCATTTGTGATGGTAATAAACAAAAAATATGTTCATATATTTATTTTTCGTTGTATGTGAAAAATTATAGCTTGGTTCCATATGGAACCGCTCATAAAAGTAATCTCTTTATCGATAAAATTCTGCATCTAACTTATAAATAATATATTTTCAGAACGAACTACTTACGTTTCTCTGCAAAGATGTCAAGCCCTCCTGTCTGACACCCGGTACTTACAATCTTTTAATGTTAACTGAGCAGGGAGTAGTAGGTGCAGCAGAACCAAACGTTGCCAGAACACGTAAAAGATGTGTATCAAACCTACGCATCCACTAGTATATTGACTTGACCATACAATTTTATTATGAATCCATTTTTTTCCGCTGGTTCCAAATGGAACCGCTCGGCATTAATGGGTTAAAAGGTAACCTGTACCTAATTACCATGCAGCAGTTCTAGTGTAAAGGGTTACCGGGTGCTTCATTTGCTAATTGCGCCTAGACTTGGTAAGGAGTGGCAGTTAGTATTAAAAAGTTCTACTGACTACTACTATTACCTGTATTTCCGTGGACAAGCACCTATAATACAGGGGTTGGACATAATAAGGAAAATACTTAACATTTTGAAATCATAATTTTTGAACACGTAAAAACAACAAAACTTTACATATTTTAAAGTTTTATTTTTTATTATTCTCTTAATTGATATTTTATACTTAAACGATATATATAGAAAATTTTTGTCGCTATAGCCATTTAAAAATGACGAACCTCTCTGAGTCTCATCAAAGAGTCCAAATTGTTGGTGATCGTATAGCAGGTTCTAGTCACACTAACAATCCGCAATTTGTATTTATCAATACCCGGACAATTGATACAGTAATTACCACAAAAGGTGGACTTACACAATCAACGCTAATATACATTTTGTGGATTTTTAAGGAACTTCCCTTATTTTGTCCAATTCTTGAATGTACGCTCTCATAAAAAGCGCAAAGATCGAAATTTATTAAATGTGCTGGATGAAATGACTTTTATTACCAAGTTAATTTCAAAAGATAGTAATTTTTCGCAATTAATTGTGACGAAGTGTAAGTAATTGGGAACTACCCTTGACAACGTATGTAGGACCTGATGAGGTAAGTCTTGTCAATGATTGCCTTTAGCTTAAGAAATTCCGAAAGCCATATAAGACTTGCTGTAAAAAACTATTAAAATGACTTTGGTTGCAAAATACCTGAGAGTGTAACTCATTTCTGTCAGGATTTCAGCTGGAAGATGGCAAACAAGAAGGCAAGGAAAAATTGCGCCGTAAACACTATACCCGGCGTCAGAGAGAAAGTGTATATGTAATGAAGTTGTTGCTTCCTCGGGTTTGTATCTCACTCGTCTCAGGTACCTTCCTTGAAGCGCTCCTATCAACCATTAACATTTTATTTAAACAAGACTATATTGAATAGTTAATAAATTGATAAAAAGGAACGTAATCAAAGAAACACTAAATCTATACACTTGGCATAATGGATGCCCTATACTGGTAGCGGCTTGACAAGAGATCAGGACTCCCTCTTGATCCGAGAGCTCCCAGACGGGACCTTCATTCTCGATCTTTAATATTAGTCTGGCTTACGGCCCGCCCTCCAGAAGCTCTAACTGAATCAAGCTCCGCAACCCTACACTTTAAACAAATTATAGTTCATGACTGACCGGTCTGTACGGCAAATACGCAATGACAATCACAGCTGATGAATTGATTTCTAATTTATGCCATATTTCTAATTTATGCCATAACCAATCATTTGATTCAATACTATATTCGAAGAATAAATTAGCGGCGTAACTCACCAACGAAGGCAGTGGTTGTCAGTTATACTAAAGTCACTAAATTGCGCTAAAGCGAGTTGACAATGCCGTTACATGGGTTGCTCACTGTATGACTACTGGCTACCAACTGACAGGTCGCGGTCGGTCCTAACTGTTGTCGCCTCACATTCAGTGCCTTCTAGAACTTAATTTTAGACCCTTACATTAGGGAGCGCAGCCGTGGGTAACAAAATTGACTCGAAAACAGGCCCTGGGCCCAACGCCAACCATCAACATGAAATATCTACACATAGCCTCAGATCAATGAGCCGTGGGTAACTCCGGCTAACAGTAAATCCGCTTTGCACAACACAGCC